AGGTGCCGGCTTGCCCCAGGTGCTGCGCCCCTTCGAGCTCACGCACACCGAGGTGGTGGAGCGCCGGCGTCTCCTGCTGGAGAAGGGGACGCAGGAGCGCTCGCGATCGGTGAGGAGCCACCCGTCGACCCCGGAGCCCGCTTTCTGGTCCGCGGCTTTTCGGCAAACTGGCCATGCCGTTTGCTTTCCGTCTTCCTCTCAGTCGCCACTGCCTTCCTCTGCGACATCTGCACGGTCCTAAGAAACGTTTGCTGGGCCCCTTCTTGGTTGGCTCTAATAGAACGATAGAAAACGCATTAGATTTCCATCCCTGGATTTAAAATCTGGCTCACCCGCATACCAGCTTGGGGTCTTGGCTGTTATTTAACCTCTCCGTGCCTCACTGTCCTCATCTGTAATAATGGCGGTCATTGGACCCGCCTCATAGGATCATTGAGGGGTGAGTGAGTTAATTCATGTGCTAAACTTACTGCGGTGCTTGGCGCTGGCGCTTACCTAGCTTCTATCCCGCAGTATGGGAGTCCGAGCCCGCCCCCGCCCCCATCACCCCGCAGCTTGCTCTCGCCTACTCCCAGCGAGTAGGTGGGTGGGGGTGGGGGGTGCTGTCAGTCTGACCGCTACCCAGGCCTGAGGCTTCCCCGCGCCCTCATTGAGGAAGGGCTCTGGCCTCTTCCTCCACCCTCTCCCATTGGTGAGCACAGCCCTCCTCCTCTCGGCATGGGGACTCCAGAGCGGACCGTGAAAAGAGCCAGGCGTCGGGCATCAGCACAGTTACGCTGCCAGACAAGCAGGACAAGATGCAGGCCATGAAAACCCCGAAGGGTCTGGGCAAGAAAAAGGAGAAGGCTGGGGTAGGTGTCCGAGGGGACGAGAGCCTGGGCGCCGGCTGGCCTGGGAGGGGGCGCTTCTATGGCTGAGATGGGAGTGGAGGTAGGAAGGTGTCGCCTTTGAAGGTCCATCAGCCCAGGGTCCTAACCGTCCTCCAGGGGCCAGGCCTTTCAGTTCTTTCCCACATGCTCCGCAGGAAGTAGTCAAGAAAGAGGAGAAGTCAGGGTCTGGACAGTCGCCCACACAAGGAACCCCTAAGAAAGAAGACTCCACAAAGTCGGGCAAGGGGAGTAAGTGCTAGCACCCCTCAACTGCCAGCCCCACTTTCCCCCTGGAGGAAGGAGGAGCCCTGGGCCAGGGCTGCCTGCCTCAGGCGCTTGCCTGGAGCTAGTCGCCCGTCTCTCTCCACCTTCTTTCCTTCTTACAATAAGAAGTTCTGGAGAAGACAGCAGGTGGCATGGTGGTTCAGGCGCTGGATTCCCACAGGGTCAGCTGAGGTTCAAGTCCCAGACCTACCTGGAGGCTTGCTTTCTCACTTTCCCTCCTTCTGTCTCTCTTGCTCTGTTTCTCTCTGGTGAATGCGTATGCCCTGTAGCAAGTTTTAAAGTAATAATAATGATAAATAAAATAAATAATAAAAAAAAGAAGTTCTGGAAAGTACCCCCTGCCCCAGCCCAGACATCCTGTCATCACATTTCTGGGGCTGGACCCCTGAGGCTCTGCCCTCAGAAAAGGAGCTAAGGAACTCACCCGCCTGGCTGGGGCCCCTCAGAGTTCAGGGTGCCCCTGCCCCACCAGCAGATTCCTGGGTGACTCAGGGGTGTGCACTGTGGCTCCTCTTCTGGCCCCAGAGGTGACCATCCCCGAGCAGAAGCCAACCAAGGGAAAAGGGACCAAGAGCGGCAGCAAAGAGAAGCGCAGCATCCTTCCGGAGTCCGAGGTGCGTGCGGAGGTAGAGCGGGCACCCTGGGGCCCCCGCCTGCCCAGGAGCTCTGCGGCCAGCCCTCCTGCAATGTCACCTCCAGCCTGGGCTACATTGCAGCCCCCTGCCTCCAGATTTTGTCTTGTCCCAGCCACACCTGAAACCCCCACCACTCCCAAAACAGGCTTACATGGGCAGGATGCGGCTCTGTCTCTCCTCCGGCCCCTCACCTTTCTTGTCTGTCAGTAGCCACACTTCGGACCCGCCGTCTGGACCCTGGCTACTTCCCCAAAGGCCACGTTCCTCCCCAGCAGCTCCATCATCTGTCCGGCTGTGAGGGGACAAAGCACCCCTCCTGCTGTTCCCCTGCAGGCAGGGCATCTTGAGTCACAGAGCGGCCGCCCTGTGCGGCTCCTTCAGAACCTGGCCCCTTTGCGTGGGAGTCCTCCCTCTCCTCTCCCAACTTGGACCAACTTGTTCCCTGCTTCAGAACCTCCCTGGCCACCCCTGCAGTCTGTCTCTGCCCTTATAGTCTGTCTTCATCGGTGGGAGCATTCCCCCTCCCAAACGCAGGCAGGTAGGATCCTCTCCCCTTCTAGGAGGAGTTCAAGCCGAAGGGAGTGGGTGCCTGGAGCAGGCTGCTGCTTTTCATCCTGTCCTCAGTCATCTCCCCACCCACTCCCCTCATCACTGTAGTTGTTAGCAAATGATGAGTAAAACCAGGATGCCACAAGGATGCCACATGCCGGCTCCTGCCCCAGGGCCTTTGCACCTGCTGTGCTCATCTTCCCTGTGCCTTCACAAGGCAGCTCACAGCACACCTGGAAGCCTCTTCCTGGCTCCTGGACTGCTGGGCTCAGTAGCCCTCACCTGGTCTCCCGGGCACTGTGCCACATCACTGCTTCCAGCTGAAGGAGCCTCTTAAGTGCATGAGCTTACCGCTGGCTGGGTCCTGGCACCTCAGACAAAGCCTGGACCACGCTGGCCTGGCGCCAGTGTTGTGAGCGAGTGAGCGTCGGGCAGCCGGCTTCCTGCTCTGCTGCAGTGAGTCTTCTGCTCTTAGCAGCTGGTTGCTGAAGCTACAGAGATGATCAACCCTCTCCTGGAGCCCGTGGAACACCGAGATGGGAAAGTTTTCATGCCTGGCAACAAGGTCCTTCTGCACCTCAACCTCCTCCGTATGTTTGCCAGCCTCTCCTGCCCACCTGCCACGAGGCTCCCTGGGCCCCCTCTTGCTTCCAGCAGGCCTGGCTCTTCCAAGGCCCGGCATCATGCTGTTGGATGCCCTCTGCACAGTGTGCAGGGGTGAGGGGAGGGCCAGCTCCAGGAGGCTGAGGCCAGCAGAGGGCGCTGAGGAGCTTAGAGACAGATGAGGGATGGCCTAGTGGGAGAGGATGCAGTTGAGGAAAGGGTCGAAGTTGGGGTGAATGGCCAGGCCAGGGAGGAGTCCTGGGCTGGTGAGTCTGGAGGCGGGAACTGGGGGAGCCAGGCTGTCGAGGATGTCTGGTGAGGGCAGCGGGTGTCAGCGAGGCTGGCAGGTAAGAGGCCACCTGTGTACACTTCCACCAGGAAACCGCATCACAGAGGTGGGGCTGGAGGGCTTCCTGGCCGCAGTGCAGTACCAGGTGCAGTTCTCCAAGGCCAAGAGCTCGTCCAAGGGCCCGATGGGGCTGCTGTGGCTGTCCCTGGCGGTGAGTCCCCGTCCCTCTCCTGTTGCCATCATGTGCAAGGCAGGCCTGGAGTTTCCCCGAAGCACCACTGCACAGCCCGCTTCTTTGCGTTTCTCTCGCGGCAAGATCGGTGTCTTCATCACCTTCTCCTCATCCCCGGCCCCGACCCAGCGCTGCTTTTATCCCAGACTGAACTTCCTGCCCCTTAGCAGCCGTCAGCCTTCCTTTTCCTTCCAGAAAAACTGCTTCCCCCCACAATGTCATGCGTACACCACGATCCAGGAACTGATGCTGCCGAGGGACCCCATCAAGACCAAGCTCAAGGAGGAGGAGGCCGTGGCTTTCCCCACCTAGCCCCTCCCACCCTCTCTCCTGCGCCTCGGGCCAGGTCCCTGTGTGGGCGGACCTCCCTGGAAGACGCCTGCAGCCCAATAACAAGCCTACTGCTGTATGTTCCCTCGAGGTTGCCTGAAAATGTTGTCCCAGAACCACTGGGAGCCCCGAGGTTGGGTCTGTCCATACACACGGCCAGGAACAGCGGCAGCAATGGCGTCTCTACGGCACCGGCTAGCCTGGGCACTGCTCTGCCTGAGGGTGGAGTCCTGCTCAGGAAGTCATCCCCCACCCCATACGTGTTCCCTGGGACATGCATTAGCCCAGGGTGAGCCTGGGTATGCGTTTGGCCTCGGGCAGGAAGGACTAGAAGTGACAACTGCAGGCTGTGGAGAGGGCTAGGATGAGGTGTGGGGGGACTGAGCAGAGGCTCCATTCCCCCACCCCTGCTCCCCCTCTGGCTGGCCCAGGTGTTTGGCTGCTTTGATGGAAGGCTCAGTGGCTGGCCAGTTTGAAGGGTGCAAGACACCTCCATAGACTGGAACCCTAGCACTGCCTGCAGAAGCCAGCAACCCAAAGCCAGACACACTTGGTGTGAGGCGGTGGACACATTGGGGCCTGCCTTTTTACCCTCCCCAGAGGTGCCCTGACCATGCCATGCATGGGACTGGCTTCTGGAGAGCCCGCCTCCCAACTCCAGGGAGCTCCTGGGGAAGGTGCACACACACGGGACCCAGGCCCCCTCCTCAGCTCTGGCACATCTGACTTGTCCACACTGCCTCTGCCCCACTTCCTCCTGTTTCCTGCTGGAATACTGTGCCTGGCTTTGCGCTGCCCTGCCCTGCCCTGCCCTGGGCGCCTGCAGCCCTGGCAGTCTGCTGCTGCTCCGCTGAGCTTCTCCAGGGAAAGTGTCATTTCTCAATTCCCAAAGTGAGCATCTGAAGGTGCCTGAAAACTGGTCATCTCAGCTTCTCTAGCTGCTCCCACCCAAACCGCTACAGCTTTGGTGACCCTGTCAGTGGGCCTGTCGTACTCTGACACTCCATCACCAGGGACATCAACCTGGTGCCCTATCTCCATTGCGTGCTCCTGAGGCCAGAGCCTGGTATTCTGCAGGGTAGAGGGGCTGGACTGTTAGATATCTAGGGATGAAGAATTTGTCACTTGATCCAACAACAAAGGCCAAGGGACAGGTGATGTGAACAGCCATGGTGATGTGGCTGCATCTGCAGATGGATGACCACGGTGAGGAACTGGCCAGGCTCAAGATGACCCTCGCCTTTTATGTTCTGCTGTTAACGTCCAAAGCTCATTGAAGGCAGTTCACGTGACCCCTGGGGCCACTGTGCCCCCCCACATGCATATTTCAAAACAGGGTCCATCTTTTCCACCCCAGCACAGTAAGCACACCCCCGAGGCTTTGGGAGAGAGTAGAGCAAGAGTGGCTGGGGTGTGACACTGGGGTGGGGGTGCCTTTGACCTCCTCATTATATCTGGGCCAGTAGCAAACGGAACCACCACAGCTTTTGTTATGGTGGTTCTAAGAATCACACACACGCCATCACAATCGAAGAATATTTAACTTTTCTTAAAAAAAAAAAATCTTAAACATGAAAGGAAGAAAATAAGAGTATACATTATCTTAACAGCAAACAGTCATTTGCATATCTATACTTTATATATTATATATATTTATATATATATATGTATATATACACCGAGCACAGTGTGTATATTCTACCTCGGGAGTGGAGCAGGGGGTGAGGACGCGCAGAGCCAATGCTGCAAGGCCCCTGGGGCTGGTCCTGGGAAATTCAGGGACTCTGTGTTCAAACCCCTGCCCCTGCCTCCTGGGGACAGCTTTCAGCCTTGCACCGGCTCCGCTGGTTTCTACAGGGACGGGGAGGGGAGGGAAGGGTGGACACAGGCAGATAGGAAACTCCCCATGGGTCCCCATCTATGGAGAAGTCCTAGGAGGGAGGAGCTCAGCCTGAGCCAGAGAACAGGCTCCGGTGACAGGTGGGGCCAGGAGTGAGACCTTCCCGTCCACAGGGGACAGGGCCCAGGTCTGGCTCCACCTCCAGGTCTGGCCCTGGAGCTGGGCTGTTAGCTAGGAGATCCGTGCACCCGTCCCCTTAGCAGTCGCTCTGTAACTGCCTGCGGACTCCAGGAGCAGAAACAGAAAAGGGCAAGGTTATTTACAGGAGTGAAGATGCACGTATCATACATACATATTTATAGACCAAAGTGACGAGGAGTGGGGAGGCACCCACCTCCCCGGGGGTCCTGCGGAGAAGGGAGGGAGAAAGTGCATTTACACAGAAGCTGCCTCCTTTCACCTGCACGTCTGGGCACGCAGGGACCCTGCACACAGGGATGTGAGCGCGGGGCAGACAGCTGTGGTGGGGCCTTTCAGACGTAGTCGGCATGCTTAGGGGACACATGCCCTGGAGGGTGAGGCTGGGGGAGGGCAAAAGACACTGAAATTTGACTCGGATCCGAGCAGACCAAGCAACATGCGACCGGGTCAACCCCCAGGCCTTGGATGGACCCCAGTGTCCCTCACTACCTCTTTCACGGGGAGGAGGTTTGGGGTCTCCCCACCCTGTGCCCCTGCCTCAGGCCAGTACTGAAGGAGAGGTGGGGACGCAAAGGATTTGGAAGTGTGTGTGGTCACAGTCCTGGCGACATGGCTGTGTCTGCTGTGCCGTCTTCTGGGGGGGTGTCAGAGCCTGCGGGAGGAGGAGCACGGTGAGGAATGGGCCAGGCCTGACATTTTGTCTACGAAAGTCTACAAGCTCCTGAGAGTGGTGCCTTCAGGGCCACCCAAGTGTGACCTCTTCTAGAAAATCAGGTTTCTCGTGGGGCCTGAAAAGAGCCGTCCATGAAGCCCACTTGTTTTTCAGCTCCCAAAGTCCCTAGTTTAGGTAGGTCTGTACTTGTCCTCCTGAGACAGGAGATAGGAGACGGCCATGTCTCCAGTCCAGTCCCCTGCTTGGAACCATTTAATAAGAGCAGGTATACAGGCACGACCAGGCTGCCCCTGGCTTACCTCCACAGCATAAGGAAGAGAAAGGTTCCATCCTAAGACTCCAAGTTTTAGAGGAGCTTTGGTGAGTCCTCCCTAGAAGAGCTCTTCCTTTTTTTTTTTTTTTTTTTTTTTTAAAGATGGGGTCTGGCTCTATCACCACTGTGTCTGGCTCACCTCCCAGGTGGGACTACACGCACACGCCACCATGCCCGGCTTTATTCTAACAGGGTCTTGCCACGTTGCCCAGGCCAGCCTTGAGCTCGTGATCCTCCTGCCTCAGGCCCGCCGAGCGGCTGGGGTCACAGGTGCAGGACACCACACCCAGCCTTAGGTTGGCCCAGGCCTCCTGAGTGGCCCCTGCCTGCAGAGCGAGTTTTGGCTGTGTGTGCTGCTGCGGCTGGGCCAAGACCCCTGTCCGAGGCTGAAGGAATACATTAGCTACACCCAGGGGGACATGAGACCCTCAGAGCCGCCACCTCTCATGCTGCTTGGTGACATTCCCCCCATGGCAGGTACAAAGAGGGAGCTGGCTTCACTCACCATCTTCTGGGCAGGACCCAGGGTCATGGCTGTTCCTGGTGTCAGAGGCCAGGGGCTCCTTGGCTGGAGGCGAGAGGGAGCTGTCTGCCCACCTGGCTGCCTCTGTATGGAAACTGCCCACGGGCGTGGTGCCACCAGATGACTCTCCCCCAAGGGACCGGAGCAGCTCTCTGTGGGCCAGCTCCATGTCCTAGAAGAGTTTGGAGGTGTCTGCCCAAGACCTGCGCTTCCTTTATAAAAGCCGGGAGAGGGGCTGCACTTTGACCTGAGGAGGGTCCTGGGGGCGGGGCTGTGGCATAGGGGTGGCTGGGCGGGCTGAGGGAAGGGGCCTGGACCGGGCCGGGGTGAGGGCTCCAGGAAGACACAGCTGTCACTTAGAGGGACTGGACTTGGGGTGGTGGACTGATGGCCTCAGGCCTGCCCTGCCTCCCTCACCTTGAGCCTATTGAGCTTGAGGGTGAGCTGCTCAATGGTGCGGAAGATCATGCCCACGTCCCGGGAGGCCAGGCTGGGCAGCGAGTGGCTGGCTCGTCTTTGACCTCCATGGCCCGCCCGCAGTTGGGTCGGATGCTCTGTCTGCCAGGTGGGGAGGCTGTCAGGCTGGGAGGGGCTGCAAGGTGCCCCCGAAGGGTCAGTGCTAGAGTCCGAGGGTCCCGCTGGCATGCTGACGTAGAAACAGTTCCCTGCCCCCATGGTGAGAGAGAGAGATTAGGAGGCTAACACATGAGGTCCATGTCACTCTCCCACTCCCCATGTCCCCCATGCCAATGGTCAGAGCTGGGCCTGGACGTGTCTATGGGCAAACTCAGGCAGGCTGCCCCCAGGCTGCCGGCCAGACTCCTCCAATTCCTGTCTTCAGGGGCCTTCCCAGGGCCCGCTTGCTCAGTCTGGCCTCACAGCACGGGGTGGTGCTTAGTGGTGGAAGTGGTGGAAGGGCTGCAGTCTCATCTGGGCACTGGGGAGTGGCTCCCCATCCTTGGAGGCGAGGGCAGACCTGTTGGGCTGGCTTTAGGTCCTTCTGAAGCAGCAACCCCTCTGCCCTGCCTCAGTTCAAGTTCTGCTGTGAACTCACAATGCCCTCGCCCCAGCTGCCATCTGAGCCACCGTCCTCTAGGGACACCTGGATGCAGCAGACAGAGGTCAGAGACAGCTGGAAGAGGAATGGACAGGGTCCTGGACAGGGCGGGGAGCAAAGGTGGCCCCCCAGGAGCCTGCGAGGTCATGTAGGCTATTTCCACAGGGACCCTGGAGAGGCAGCTGGGGTGAGAGGTGTCTGTCAAGGACACCAGGTTGGAGGAACCAGGCCTTGGGCACTGGGCTCAGCTTTCCTACCCTAGCTCACAACACAGGTCGCTCTGAAAACAAGCCTGTACAGCTCCTGACGGGACGTGTGGCTCAGGCTCTATTCCCGTCCTGCACCTCCCGGCTCCAGAGGGCTGAGGAAAGCTGCGTGGTGCTGGGGAGTGTGTGCATGTGTGCAAGTGTGTGCATGTGCACACATGTGAATGCAGGCAGGGCTGCGACTCCCCAGACCTGCCCTGGCCCCTGCCCCACGCTCCAGTCTGGCCTGTCTTGGCTCCAGGGAAGTTAGTTACCCGTCGCCTTTGTTCCGCCTTCCATGTCAGGTGGCTCAGGTTCGGACTGGCCACTCCTGGGCAGCGCGGGGACCACCTTGCTGCCTGCCATCTCGGCTGCACCAACACCACCACCACCAGAGAGGGGAGACCAGAAGGAGAGGCCAGGGGAGAGAAGGTAGGTGAGAGAGGAGAGGGGTGGAGAGAGAGAGGGGAGACAAGGTGAGCGCAGGATCACCCCAGAGCAGCCCCAGGAAGTTACCAGAACCTGCCACCAGTTCACCGAGTGAGTGAGGAGGGTGGTCAGTTCCCACACACCTGGAGAGGGCAGACAGGAAGGAAACACCACTGCAACAGGAGCGGGTGGGGGAAAGGGGAGCCCTGCAGTGCTGGCCCCCTCTGCGCTTGGGGCACTCAGGCCCCCTTTGCCTTTCTGCCATACCCCCTGCCAGCTTCTCCTGTCCCTTGTCTGCCTGCTGCCCTGCCAGTTAGTCTTGGCTTTTCTTGGCTCAGCATCCAAGGTGATCCCTGACCTGGGTGCCACTCTGCCATCTGGTTCACTCAGTCCCGCCCCCTTACTGTCCCAGTGCCTGCCCAGCCTGCAGCCCTGCAGGCTCCAGGCACCTGCCTTGTCCTTCCGGCCCTTGCAGCCCCGCCTTCTCCCTGGGACTTGGTCAGTGAGAAGCAATGACACAAGCTTCCATTGGTAGCTCATTTGGGTCCGGCAGCAGGAAATGTCCTCATATGTGAGGGGGCTTCAAAAAGCTCGCGGAGAGCTGGGGTTAGTTAAGGGAGTCGACTCTGTATGGCCAACCTCATGGTTCAACCTGGGCCTAGTGGCCTGAAAACATGCTGGGTATACGTGTGTGTACCCCAAATTGTGACAGGATGGAGAAACAAAGAAGGTCGCAGCGGCCACACCCCATTGAGGGTGCATTCTCTTTCTCTGGTGAGCGCAGACACCTTCTGGCAAATGGAATAAAAAAAAAAAAGAAAAAAAAAGCTGTGGAAAATATGACTGATGAAAAAACTATGCATAGATTTCAACATTTTTTCCCACCAAAATAAACTTGGACTTTAATAGCAGTTTCCGGGAATGGGGAGCCACTCCCCATTTCCCTAGATGAAAGTTTTTTAAAATGTGTTTTTTCCATGAGCAAGAGACAGACAGAAAGACAGAGATGGTACCCCAATAGGCCCTTGGGCCACGACCCACCCAGCCTCAGCCAGCCTGGACCGGGGCATGCGTGTGTGCTTCCCCAGGCTTCAGAGACCCCTCCTAGTATAACATAAAGTGAATTCACAGATGGTTCAGAACTTGATCTACGTGCTGTGGGCCCAGGCGGTGCTGTGGCTGTCAAGTGCGATGTGCTGTGAGGCGGATGCACGTGGGAAGGCTCTGGGGTTTGCATCCAGAGGCCTCCTTGAGTAAGCCAGGCACCTGCACGCCCACGATCCAGTGCTGAAGTTGGCAGTGGATCCTGACATCGATCCCGCCGGGGGTGCTGCCTGTCTTTCTCACTCGTGGAAGAGATAAACAATAAACTTTAAAATAAGGGTCCCAGGGGACCAGTAGGTGGCACAATGGTTACGTCACTAGGCTCCCATGTAGTTGACCGTGGTCTGAGTACCAGATCTGGTGGCATATACCTCATGCCAGGCACATGTGCGTGTGGGCCCAAGATCCCAAAAGGAGAATGGAGGGGGAGAGATTGTGGCATGACCATTCCCGCAGGGGGATTTCTCGCTTTCCAGCTTTGTTCCTGTCTCTCTGACAAGCACACACACCCTATAGCAAAATCTCTCTAAGAAACAAACAGATGGTCCCGGAGGTATTAGGCAGAGTTAGGAGTTGGAACTATCCAAGTGGTATCTGTCTCCCCCTCTGAGGAGTGATGCGGCCTCTGTTCAGGAGCCCAGGGTGAGGCAGGGAAGGCAGGCTCGCCTCGTCCCTGGCAAGCTAGTGCAGGTCTCCCTGGGGATATCCCAGTGTTTTACCTTTTCTCACAACTTTGTAACTTCCTGTGGCCTCTGTGCCCGAAGCATCTTCAGGTGCACTCCTATCCAGCTCAGGAGACTCCCAGATCCCTGAATTTCTGGTCCTTGGGGGCAGGTGTTCCAGAGAACAGAGAGCCACATCTTCCTGTTCTGGCTGGCCCTCCTCTGTCCCCGGGAGCTGGGTGCTGTTCCCTTCACCTCTGGGAAGACCTTGCCCCGGGGAGCCTGGGTCCCAGGGATGAGAGGTGACGCTGATGACGGAAGGTGTGGGCGTCAAGTCATCCTCGGGCTCCCCAGCGGCCTGTGCTTCCACGGGGGGCCCTGGCAGCAGGCTCCACAGGATCAGGTGCCGCAGGCTCTCCACTGCAGGGAAACGGGCTGATGGCTCCCTCCGCTCGGGGGAGGGAGAATACCGAGGGCCAGTTGCTGGGCAGCTCCCTCCCCACCAGTATGGCCGGCTGCCTGGTGGCAGGGGTGGGAGAGAAGTGGCAGCAATCTCAAGCACACCAAGGGAGAACCTTAGGGCCGTGGAGGATGGAGGTGGTTCCACTCTCCCTGGCCTGCAACTGGGGGCCAAGGCCGAGGGCAGGGTCCTTGAGGCACTCACCGTCTTCCAGGGCGGAATCAGCGAGCCCCTCCATGAACAGAGGGCCTGGGAGGGCCAGATGGCTGGGGCCCCTTGCCCTGATGCCCCTGTTCTCTCCGTCCAGGGGAGTGGGTGGGTGGGACAGGGCCCGGGGCTCTTCCTCCTCTCCACTGCCCTCCTGCCCCGCATCCTCCAGCAGCGCCGGGTGGAGCTTCCCTGGCACCCTCTGCTGGGGCTCAGTGCCTATTTTGGAGGAGAGGAGTGTGAGGTCGTGGGGGGACTCCTGCCAGCAACGCTGACCGATTCGTCTGAAACGTTTACTGCGTGCCTCCCCCACCAGGCATGTCTGAGGCCCTCGGCACTCGTAGGCACACACAGATCCCTGTCCGTGGGGGACTTAAATCCTAGTGCGGGACACTGAAATGAAACCATTAATAACCATGTAAAAGGTGTAGTCCGTCGGATGGTGGTAAGTGGGAGAGAAGAGCCGGCAGAGCAGGGACAGGGATCAGGAGGCCGATGGCGGCAGTATTAACCGGGGTGGGGCAGGGCAGGGGTGTGAGTCAAGGACGGCTTGTGCAGGGGACCTCAGACAAGGACTTGGAAGAGGTGTGGAAGTGGGAGGAAGTGTCCTGAGCAGAGGAACACAGAAAGGGGACGACCGAGGAGATCCAGATTTCTCTCTAAACCCAAGACCCTGAGGTATTTCACCTGAGAATTCAGAGACTCCTGTCTGAGAATGCCCCCACCCCAGTGTGTGTCTTACGCCTTTGAGTGCCCGTGGTCTCTGTGTGCACCTCGCTCGCAGATGCTCACCCTGGCAAGCGCACAGGGGCCCAGGCTGGGCCTGCCTGCTTCTCCCCGCCCAGCTATGCCGGACACCAGAGGCGGGGCTGGAATCCAGCCATGCCAGTCAAGTGAGCGGACTCCTTCCGAGTCAGCACGACCTGTTTGCCGTTCCCACCTGTTTCTTCCCTGCTTTCCTCACCAGATCCATATACGCCTGGCCCTGTGAGCCATCAGCCCCACGGCACCCCACCTGTGCCTACGAAACACAGTGGGTTCCCCCCAGACGACCAGGGAACTCACCCCCAGGCTGCTCTTCAGGTTCCGGTTCACTGTGGAACACTTCTGAGTCCTCCAGTCCTCCCCTGAGGAAGAGGCAACTGTGAGTGAGACCCGGCCACCTGGTGGAGACCCTGTGCCAGGTAGGGCAATGAGGGAGCTCGGCCCAGGAAGGGCTGTAGGTGCCAGGCCTCATCTGGTCTGGCTGGCCACCTGGAGAGAAGGCTGGGTGCTGGCCAAGCTTCTGTCCCATTTGTCCCCCACCCCATTCCAGTTTCCATTACAGTTAGGCGGGAGGCAGTGGGGGAGCAGGAAGGGACAGAGGGCAGAGATGCAGGGTGTGCTCATGTCTGCTAGAGCCTGGAGTGTCCCTGAGCCGTTTCCTGCACGGCTGTTAAGCTCCAGGGCAGCGGAAGGCAGGCAGCGTGAGGACACGGTGGGATGTGGGGGCCTAGTGGTCTGGGCACTGCACCTGATGGGTGAGGGGCCCTGGTGGGCTGGCTCCTGGGGACCAGGGGGCGGGGGATGGACGGGCTTTGGGGCAGCTCCAGGGTGCCTGGTGGCATGGCGCACAGCCTCTTCCAAGAGCTCCATCCACCTGTGGATCAGCGGGAACAGGGGACGGCAGTGAGAACCAGCGCCAGGCATGCTGGTCTCCTGTGCTGACCTGTTCCGGAGCGCAAGCCTTCCCCTGCCCCAGAGCTCTGCCCGGGGTTCCCATAGGCCCTCCCAGGGCTCCTCACTACTCCCTTGGGATTACAATACTTGCAGCTGCTGGGTCAGCTAGTGGACACCAACCCTCTGTTGTGCTCTGTGCTAAGCATTCCCTGTATGTTTTCTCTCAAAATACTCCCTAAGAGGGACCAGGGAACCAGCAGTTAGTGTAATGGCTATGTCGCTGGACTCCCACGTAGTCGACCGCGGTTTGTGTCCCGGACCCGGTGGCTTAAAACTCACGCCGGGCC